GTGGGTCATCCACACATAACCCACAGCCGTTCATCCACTCATAACTAACTCGGGGGTGCCAAGAAAGTGCGGGTCATCCACCCATAACTAACCCATGGCCGTCCATCCACTCATAACTAACCCATGGCCGTCCATCCACTCATAACTAACCCACAGCCATTCATCCACTCATAGCTAACGCAGGGGTGCCATGTAGGTGAGAGTCATCCACTCATAACTAACCCGGAGGTGCCGTGAAGGAGCAAGTCATCACTCATTAACTAACCCGGGATAACTAACCCAGGGGTGCCATGAAGGTGCAGGTCATCTGCCCATAACTAACCCGGGATAACTAACCTGGGGGTGCCATGAAGGTGTGGGTCATCCACACATAACCCACAGCCGTTCATCCACTCATAACTAACTCGGGGGTGCCAAGAAGGTGCGAGTCATCCACCCATAAATAACCCACGGCCGTCCATCCACTCATAACTAACCCACAGCCATTCATCTACTCATAACTAACCTGGGGGTGCCATGAAGGTGCGGGTCATCCACCCATAACTAACCCATGGCCGTCCACCCACTCATAACTAACCCACAGCCGTTCATCCACTCATAGCTAACCCAGGGGTGCCATGTAGGTGAGGGTCATCCACTCATAACTAACCCGGAGGTGCCGTGAAGGAGCAAGTCATCACTCATTAACTAACCTGGGATAACTAACCCAGGGGTGCCATGAAGGTGCAGGTCATCCACTCATAACTAATCCAGGGGTGCTGTGAAAAGACCCGTTGTCAACGCGGGGTGCTGGTCTGTTTGTTGAAGCCACCCCACCTGTGGTACTTGTGTTACAGCAGCACTAGATGACTAGGACAGCCCCCCCAGCGGTCAGCGGGTTTCCTCACAGGGTGTTACTCTGTCATGCAGCTCCTTCAGCTTCTGACTCGTTTCATTCATTTTTATTGTGTGTACGTGTTAAAAGCCAAGTGCAATGATTCCATACATTAACCTAGTGAGTTCAGGTTTCAGATTAAATCATTTTAAGATTTCTTGATACATTTTATGTAAAGGGAAAATGGAAGAATCTGCGTATTTTCCAGCACATTCCTGGGTAAAGCTATCTCGAGAAAGCTGACGCTGTGTCACAGCTACACGTACTTGCTGAGCCACTCCACGAGGTTCCTTCTTGCCTCCTCGATGTAGGGCTTGTCTGCCGGGGTGAAGTCTTCTCGCTTTCGGTGCACGAACCCGTGCGTTTGCCCAGAAAATGTTTTAATTTGGTACTCAACCTTGCAGTGGTCTTTCAACCTCTGGGTCAGCAGAGACACCTGTTGGGACAGAGAGTTCATGCTGATATGAGTTAACCCTTAGTAATATCTTTCCATTCTCCAAATTGTCTATAAATGCTCATAAAAGAGATTTAACGTCGTTTTCACCACAATAAAAAAATTAAAAAGATGCAACATCAATGCTTTATATTATAAACAACTTCCACAGCTACACAGAATTCTTTACTTTGAATTTGATAACTAATACAGTTCTTACATCTGGCAGAGGAGGGCGTTCTTAGCAGTAATGATATAGCCTTCCTTATTTGAAATCATCTGCATTAATGGAGTACAGTATATTCATTATTAGCAACAGCAGTAATTTCTAAATGACAGCTTTTGAAGCACAATGTTCTGCTTTTTCCTTATCAACTTACTAGACTCAATAGGTCTGTTTTCAAGGTCACAACTGACAAAGACCCCACAAGAAAATAAAGCTACAGACAGTTCTCTCTTACAAAGAAGGTCGTGGCCACGAACGCGCCAGGCGGCCAGTGGGGGCTCACTCGGGCGGCCGGGAGCCTGGTTCTGCCCCAGGCCCCAAGCCCGCCGCGGCCCCTGCCTTCGGTGTGAGGTTAGTGTGCGCCACGGCTCTCAGCTGTTTGTGGGTAAGATCCCATTCTAAGTCCCTGATAAAACTTTCGTTTAAAATTCTAATGTTGGAAAATACTTGGAGCAACAAATGCGTGCTTGAGGACTTTTTCCCCAAATGTCACACTGTGTTATAAGTGCATAAATCAGGAGGCTCGAGATGCCAACTTACTTCGTCAAGAGAAATCACCGCATCGTTTTCAGCAAAAATAAACAGCGTCGGGTTCTTCAAATTGTACACGTCCTCGGAGTCCTTAACGATGCCTGGAGAACGAAGACGGGGGAGAGCAGGTGATTTGCACACACGTCACAGAAATGGCACGAATTTGGCTGCATTTTTCAAAGTAAAATGTGTGCTTCTGGTTTTTTGTTTATATTTACTCACTCATTCACTCAACTGTTTATTAGCAATTCTAGAGATGTGACCTTTAGATTCAGTCTAAAAAGGAAACTTGTTTGGTCAGATCATCCCGCTGTATGCTTTATTTACTCGGAATTCAGCTTTCAGTAATGGAGTAGAACTTAGATCGCTTGACTGTAAAGACAGAAGAGCCTGGAAAACGCTCCTTCCGTGATGCGCCTGGAAAAAGGGGTGATAATCTCAAATCAAGGAGCCCGGGTGGCGCAGTGGTTAAGCGCTTGGCTGCTAATGGAAAGACCAGTGGTTTGAACCCACCAGCCGCTCCGAGGGGGAGCAATGTGTCATGCCACCTGCTTCCATAAAGATTACAGCCTAGGAAACCCTACAGGGCAGTTCTACTCTGTCCTGTAGGTACGCTATCAGTCAGAATCGACTCCACGGTAACAGATTTGGTTTATTTATTTTGGTAATCTCAAACCAGAACAGCCTGGCCTCTGCTGTTCTTCTAGAAGTTTCTCACTGTCTGCACACGCCCCACAGGCCCTGACTTACTGGGCTGATGGTTCCGTTTGAAACAAGTTTGTGCTCCCACGAGATCACAGTATGAAACAGCCGGCACAACACCTGGTCCTCCCAGGCCACCCAGGAAAACTAGCGTGCATCCTTCGTCCAGAATTTTAGAGACCATTTAGCCAAATTTTAGCAAAACAAGCTCTGCCTGACCAGACAGCTGGACAGACTTCCAGAGCGCCTGTGTCTGCGGGAAACTGGAGGGTCCTGCAGTGAGCCCGCGGGAAGGGAAAGTCGGGGACAGAGCGCAAGCTGACTGCTTCCCTGCTGCTGGGCACAGGCACACAGCAGCTGGCCCCCCGCACGTCCCCGTCGTCCTCCACTCGGCAAAGTCCCGTCCTGCGCTGCGGCTGGACAGCCGATGTCCCCAGACCCGCTCTGCAGCTGTCCGTGCGCGGAGCGGCCAGGCGGGGGCGCCGGTGAGCCACCACGCAGGGCTGTGCCCGCTGCGAGGGGCTGAGGGGTGACTGCCTGCTGCCCACTGGTTGTCGAGCCGATTTCCTTTTCTTTAGACTTTATTTTTAGAACAGTGTTAGGTTTACAGAAAGGTGTGCAGGAAGCACAGAGCGTTCCCTGTACCTCTTCCCCCTGCACACTTCCGCTATGACTAAGTCTTGCATTAGTGTGACACAGTGTAACTCAAGTTCCCACTGAGGTTCCCACTCTGTGCTGCAGTCCTGCTGGGTTTGACAAATGCATGCCATCCTGTGTCCACGTCCACCATCAGGCAGAACCATCTCACTGCCCTAAAAACGCCCTGCGCTCCACCTGGTCATCCTCCCCTCTGCCCTGGACACCCCTGGCCTTTCCACTGTCTCTGTTTGAACTGGAGCCCTGGTGGCGCAGTGGTTAAGAGCTCGGCTGCTAACCAAAAGGTCGGCAATTTGACTCCACCAGCTGCTCCTTGGGAACCCTACAGGGCAGTTCTACTCTGTCCTACAGGGTCGCTATGAGTCGGAATCGACTCGCTGGTAATGGGTTTTTTTTTCATAGTTTGAGTTTATTTCCGGTTCTGTAAGTAAATCTGTGAGTTTCTGTGTTTTGTAGCAGCAAGTACTTATTATCGTGGTCGAGAGGCTCCTATTTATCTTTCTGCGTTATGCAAATTCAACTGGATTCCTTTTTATCTCCTTTATATACAGATTTTCATTGTAAATATATATAACACATTTGCCAATTCCACATTTTTCAGGTGTGCAGTTCAGTGATATCAGTTACATGAATCATGTTGTACAACCTCCCCCGATAATCCTGCCCGATTTGCCATCACCATAAACACACTGAAGGGCTTTCTTTCTCCTTAACGCGAAAAGTAAGTGAAAATACCCCAGTAAGCAACCATCAAGCCAAGGAAAACCACTGGTACAGCCTTCTGATGTGTGCACAGATGTCCTTGTGTGCCTTTGTTAACATCTCAGGCGGAACGTGGCCATCCATCAGGTACTTGGTACGCAGTTTCCATATAAAAGTACAATGTTCTTACTTCGCTGCTCTGCTCCCTAACACTTTTTGTTTGTTTTGACTGAATTGTGTATGTTGCTGTTTATATTCTGGAGCGGATTTTTCTTTCCCTTCTGTTTTGTGTGTGCGTGCATGTGTGGTTGAGAACAACTCACCTCTTGGAAAAACACGTTCATACATGTTGCTTATAAGGATATTGACTGATATTAATCAGTACAGAACAAAATGCTAGTTAAATCCGTCCCCTTCATCCCAAGAGAAGAAATTGAGACCTCGGGTTTGTGACCCCCCCAGGTCACACTGTTGGACGCCCCAGTCCCCATGCAGCCGGTGGCCTCTGGCAACTGCCCCCCAACCCCTCTGTTCTCACATTTCACAGCACACGTCCTGGCACAGGGTGTCTCTGCACTCCTGGGGCTCTGAGCTCCAGGAAGAGAGGCTGGCAGTCACTGCCACTACATCATTCCGTGTTCTCACCAAGGGGGACTTACCATAGATGGACACCCCAGCCCTGAACTCCGAGCGCGTCGCCATCAAGTGGTGGACGGCCACACCGCCCCAGCAGAACCCCACGATGCCGAACTTCTGGGCGCCACACTGCAGCTTCAGGTACTTGAGGGCTGCATCCACCTCTCTGGGCAAGACAAGAGTCACCGACAAGTCAAGGGTTAGGTTGTGTCCCGGCTACCTAGCGCTGCCTAGCAGAGATGCCACAGTGGGCGGCTTTAAAGGACAGAAACTGACTGTCTCTCAGTTCTGGAGGCTAACAGTCTCGATCAGCACCTCGGCCGAGTGGATTCCTGCCCTGTCGGCAGCCCTGGCGCCCCGTGCTGGTGGATGAGCCTCACGTGACACCGTCTGCCCGTTTGTTCTGCCTCTGTGTCTGATTTTCTCTCTTTATAACTCAGATGTGATGAGGTTTCAGACCCACCTACACTGACCTGACCCTGTTAACGTAACAAAATACCCTATTTCCAAACGGTCACCTCCACAGGGTTAGGATTCCAGCACACACTTAGGGGACACAATTTGATCCCTGACGCGTCGCGAGTGCCCACAGAGAACACCGCAGTCGGGCACCGCGGGGATGAGAGGCCGCACCAGCAAGCGACACCTGGAGTTTTGAGAGACGGTTCTTTTCAGAGCCCTAGCCTCATGACACCCGCCGAGGGACGCGCAGCCCCGCAGGTCTCCCTGCCCCACCAGTCTGTCCTGCAGGGGGTACATCCCAAAACATAAACCGGACCCTCTCACGTCCCAGCCAACAGCTAAGGCCAGCCACAGACTTAGCAGCCCCAAGGGCCGCCCCCGCCCCAGGTGCCCATCTTCCCCACCCCTTCCTCTAACACCCCCAAGCTCTGCATCCCTGGCCCCATGCCCAAGAGCAGAGCTGTACTGGAAGGGCACCGGGGCTATTTAAGCCAAGAGGGGACCAAGAACTGTGGCCTCATCTTGCAAATGGGCAATGGCTCCCCAAGTTCACTTCCTGGTGGGCTGTTGGAACTCCAGCGCACTTTCAGGAAGGAACAGTGGACCAGAGGGCAGCCCAGAAAGCTGTTTGCTCTCGTGGGAAGAAAGGCTGCATGTCCGCGGTTCAAAGGACGAGGAAAGTGGCGTGTGCTGCCACAGTGGCTCCTTGTTCTCTGCTCCTAACAACGCGTATCGGAGCGCGTCTAAACGTGGCTAGCGTGCCTCTCAGCGCAAGAAGAGCTGTCCACAATGCTGGGACAGTAATTAAGTACTTCTGCAAAATAAGATGCAATCAGCATCATTTTTGGTCTTTTAATTTTTCTCAAATGCTTTGATCTTAGGAATAGCTGCCTTAATTGGAGGGGAGAAGGAGGGGAGAGGAAGCAGAAGGCATTTCTGTAAAAATTCTTTAACTGACCTTTGTGAATATTTTGTTTGTTTTGCAGCTCCGAGTCTGTTTCCCACTTTGCTGGGAGCACCAGGACCTGGCTATGGATGGACCCCCACGCTGACCTCCTGTGGGAGGAGGTCCCAGAGAGCTGAGCAGGGCTGTGGGACAGCAGGGCCCAGGGCCCACCAGCCCAGCAGACCCAGGCCGGGGGGTCCCGACAGTGTGGTCTAGGAGAAAGGAGCCGAGGGTCCAGGGCCAAGTGGCCGAGGGATGGCCCGGGCTTGGGTTCAGTGGATCAGACCCGAGGCCGAGGGCCATACGTCCTGGGCTCCTGTGTCCTGGGGAGAGGACCTAGGCAAAGGGGCAGGAAGGCGCCAGGAGGACAAAGGGCTTGGCAAGTGGGGCTGTCTGGGGCCCCCTCCCTTCATGGCACAGGTTTCTGGGGGCCCCCTTCCTTCATGGCTCAGGTTTCTGGGGGTCCCCTTCCTTCATGGCTCTGGTTTCTGGGGGCCCCCTTCCTTCATGGCTCAGGTTTCTGGAGGCCCCCTTCCTCCTGGGCTCAGGTTTCTGGGGGCCCCCTTCCTCCATGGCTCAGGTTTCTGGGGGCCCCCTTCCTCCTGGGCTCAGGTTTCTGGGGGCCCCCTTCCTCCATGGCTCAGGTTTCTGGGGACCCCTTCCTCCTGGGCTCAGGTTTCTGGGGGCCCCCTTCCTCCATGGCTCAGGTTTCTGGGGGCCCCCTTCCTTCATGGCTCAGGTTTCTGGGGGCCCCCTTCCTCCATGGCTCAGGTTTCTGGGGCCCCCTTCATTCATGGCTCAGGTTTCTGGGGACCCCTTCCTCCTGGGCTCAGGTTTCTGGGGGCCCCCTTCCTTCATGGCTCAGGTTTCTGGGAGCCCCCTTCCTCCATGGCTCAGGTTTCTGGGGCCCCCTTCCTCCATGGCTCAGGTTTCTGGGGCCCCCTTCCTCCATGGCTCAGGTTTCTGGGGGCCCCTTCCTTCATGGCTCAGGTTTCTTGTGCAGGAGGAGCTTGACCCGGGAGACCATTCCAGCCTCGTTGCCTCCTCACTCCCTCCTCCAGACAGAAGGAGGGCGTCTCCTTGGCGGCTGACGGCTCACGGCTAATCCAGTCAAAGGCTGGAGCCTGGGGATACCTCCCCTTTTCTCCCAGGGCTCCCCGAACCAGGCAAGACCACAGTCCTTTCTGGGAGGCCTGCTCCAAAGCCCCAGTCTCGGGGGGACGGAGGGGCCAGCCTGGGCTGTGGGCAGCTAAAGCCTCAGCAGCAACCAGCTGAGCAGTCAGAGCTGGGTCTGTTCTCGATCCCTTCTCTGCCCTTCTTCTTAACTGGCTCTGCAGCCAGGAGGGGAAGGAAAGGGGTGTCATGACTGAATTGCGACCCCCTAAAGAGACATGCTGGAGCTCTAACCCCTGTGCCTGTAACGGGGCCGTTTGGAACTAGGCTCTTTCTTTGCAGACGTTCTCAGCTAAGTCAGCTGGAGCAGGCACCCTGTCCTAATCCCTTCGGAGTGGCATCTTAGAACAGGGGGAACAGACATGGAGACCAAGTCACACAGGGACACAGACGCCCTGTGATGGTGCATCTGTAACCCAGGAACGCCGGGCCCTCTCGGGGCTACAGACACTGGAAGAGACAAGGGGCGGGTCTGCCCCTAGAGCCACAGGAGACCACGTCCCCGGACTCGGCCCCAGGCTCCAGACATTGAGAAACCCAATTCCTGCCACCTGGAGGTCATCCTGTCATGGCAGCCCTGCAACCCTGCCAGGTACGGGCCCTACGGGCCCTAAAGCCCATCAAGGCATCAGTGCTGCTG